TTTGGAGTGTTTTGGTCTCACAATGCCCTCTTCATTGTTTGCTGTTTGCTGAACCTTCACTTTAAATTAACATAATTTTTATTTTATTAGACGGTTTTTTGCATTTCAACCTCTTTTCGATTTTAATAGAAAGTCACGCGCTTTGTGTGCTTTTCCTTTCGGCCCTTTATTGCCGCACTGATTATTATAAGTTTTATTATTTCTAACTTTATTTTGTTGCCTTTTTTATTGCAAACGCTCTCAGATTCAATGGCGACCCTTCAAAAAAAAAAAAAAAAAAAACAACAACAACCTGAGCCCGCGCATTATACCAAACGACTGCAATTCAAAATAATGTCCGGCACAAGAATGACACTTTAAAAGTTTCGCTCCCAATACGCGCGTCCTTTCGCTCCATCGCACTATGGAGTATACGAATTATTTCTTAGCCAAAACCGAATTCAATTAAATAAATGATTTATTCATTTGATAAAAATGGTAGCATTTACGACTTTCTCCAGCTCAATGCTTAAGTATTATTTAAAAAAAAAAACAGGGTTTCAATATTCTATGGTACAATCTGAGTGCCAAATTAATTTAATAGAATATATCATCAATAGAATATATCATCATTCATTTCAAACTTCAAAACGCTCTAACTGGAGGTTTTACTACTCCCTCCCACAACCATGAAAGCAGTAAGTCAAATCCGTCAATGAGGCTGGTTTGTGGCAAAAAGCTCGAGCACCAACAGTTGCCATTTTACTTAGCTTTCATCGACTTTCATGAACATCATCAAGGCATGTTATAGCTGCTGCACTTGTTGCCTTTTACGAACAATAGTGGCGTACAACTAGGTCGTGTCCTCTTCGTTTTATTAACCAGCACGGTAATCTAATAATTGAAGCTGCTGCATTTGAAAACCTTGGAATAAACTGAAGACTTAACAGCAGTCTCGATTACCTCGAATGAACTTCTTTTCCATCGGTTTTCAGATACACAAAATAAACTTAACGAACTCACGGCCACAGCTTACAAAGAGAAGTTCACAGCACCAAAACAAAAAGTATGCATACATATAAACACCACCAACCACAGGCAGTATTCACTATCAGACACAACACCGACGATATAAATCAGTTTAAAAAACGACAACTGCTGGAGCCATGACCTTAGAATCTAAAGCAGGTGACAAATCAAATCACGAGCAATTTGTACCCCAGAATAAAATGAGCAATGTCAGAGAATCACAATTCGGTAAAAAATAAAAAGGTGCGCAAAAAGTTTTATTGGAATGGAGCTCTCAGGTAATAACATCCCGAGGGCGACTGCGCAGAACCTGCCGAAGATTTCAACGTCAAGAAATCAACTATTATTAATTTGCTCAATAATTATAATAATAATAAAATAATTAATGTATAAAAATATATATAGTGTAATCCTATTTCATTCAGAATCAAGGCATAGAAAGGAACATCGTTCTGGTTTTTTCAAGTAATACTTAGACTGAGCATGGCTTGGCAAAGTCAAAAAATATTTAATTTCTAATTAGTCACAAGATATATAACATGTTTGAATGATAATCTGTCTTCTCGGCTACTGATGGGGCATATTCTTCACTCTCTAGTTATTAGCACAGAAAGTCTCAATCGATTTGGCAGCTTGCCTATTCTGTCTGCAGAATTCTACACACCTATCTGTTTCCAATTCATTTTGAAGCGCCTTGAGGGATTTCTGCGAATTAATTTCTAAACCTCCTTGACAAAAAATTAGCAAGAAAGTTTTATGGAGTTCACAATCTGTGCATTTTTACAATTCGATACGATTCTGACAAGTCAATACAATACATTTGGCAGACTCTTATCACTTATGCTTGAACAAAATTGTTAACTACTACTGCTCTAGAGCTTGGAAGAAATACCGTACTATGTTTTAGCTTAGAAATTCTGATTCCTATCCCATAGTCCTGCGGACCTTGTTCGGTTTGGACCAAAAGGCGGCGACGCCTTCGTTTGTTCATTCAGTTGAAACTTGTACAACTAAAAATCATAAATCTTTTTAATTTCATTGATCAACTTTAGCTCGCTCCGTATGTATGTGTGTGCGTGTGTACACAAGTATATGTATGTAGTAAGTATGTTGATAAAGTTTTCGAGCAAGGAAAGTTTCACACTTGACTCCCGCGGGACATATTTTACTTGACATTTTAATCGATGAGAGATAAATATTATACGTAAAATCCAATTCATTGCTGAAAAATTATGTTACTTGGACGCAAAGTTTTCACACACACACACCCACACCCACACGAACACGCACACGCACGTTTGGAAAAAACTTTCTATTTTTAATGAATAAGCATTTTTTATTTCAACTCCGCCCGTTTAGGAAGCGACGCCTCATAAACAGTCACGAATCCCTCCATCCCACCAACTACAGAGTAAAGCTTACAAAAGGCAACAATAAAAGTAATGCTTAATGGACTTTTTTGTGGCAAGCGGAAATGTATAAATAAAAAGAGGGCGCGTTTATGAATGAATAAGCTTGGGATAAAAATAGCATACAAGTACATGTGATTAAAAAATACCAGAAACCCAACATTTGACTACTTCAAAGAAGCTTTGTTTAACAGCAAGTCAAAAATAGGGCAGAGAAGATCAGGCATCTAAATTTAGCTTGCAATATGCAAATTAAGTTTTCCAAAAGAAAATAATGTCTACATTATACAGAGAATACAGAAATCATTTCTAATTAGCTTGTTTTGGCTCTTGTTTTCATTTCAAATCTAAAAAACAGTATTAGAAATTCACCCAGACATTAATCTACATTAATTACCTATACCGAATGACTAATACATACAGATTATCATAGGAAATAATATTCATTCAGGGAAATCTCGTGAGTCAGAGTAAAGTATATAGGAAAATATAAAAAACCAAGAAAAAGTGTTGTACGCAATACTTCTTATTTTCAAAAATTCATAAATTATACGTTCAAGAAAGTTCTTTACGAATGAAGTATATTTGTCTTAAAATGTGTATCAGTTTTTCACACTTTTCTTTAACTTCTTCCATACTTTTTAAAAGAAAAATTACTTTCTTGTTATTATTAACAAACACAATTTTACAAATACGCTATTACATTTGTGTTGCAAATGCATTTTACGATCTTCTGGGTCAGTAATGGTATAATCTGGATTTATGCAAATCCAAACTAACAGCTAAATAATGCAATGGCCATTAAGGAATTCCAGATATTTCATTTAAAAGAAAATACATCGCCATTGCTTGGGAAAATAACAACTTCTATAATGTGTAGTTCTATTTTTATTATTTTTCCATTTTCTCTGCACTCTGACGGCTTATGCACAAAATTAATTACGCTGCTAGTTTTTTTCACTGTCTTCAACTCTGGACCGGGCCCAATAGAAGCCGCCAACGGAGATACACAGAGCCAAGCAAAAGACTGACCCAGTTGTTTAATTGAATTGAAGCCATAAACACTCATAGTAGACGACGAGGGTGTTCGCAATCAGTCAAAAGATGAGGAAAATGGAAACGAAGATGAAAAGTTACTGCTGATGTTGAAAGAAAGTGGGTTTGTTGCATAACTTTAATTAAAATGATGCTCGTATGCCAATCATATATCAAATGTTAAATCGGTTGTTTAAAACGCAAGTAAGTGCCAAAGAATGGTTGCATGGCCTGCCCGCTGCCATGACAATTAATTGCTAAATGCTTGCCGCTTATGCAAGAAAGAAAGTGCAAATTTCATCAACATGATCAAAAACAAAATGAAGAAAAAGCAGAAAAACAAAAAAAATGGAAAACAAGCATAAATATGTGACAGACAGACAGACAGCCTGAGACGCAGGCAGGCAGGCAGGCAAGCGAGTTAACCAAACAAAAAGTAAGGAAAAACTGCCAAGAAAAAGAAAAGTTGTTGACATTTTCTGAGCCAACACGTAGAACAGTAACAGCAGCAACAACAACAACAACAACAGCAATAACAGCACCATGGCCAAAAGTATCGCAGTAAACACTCGAAAGGAGCAGAAGAAGAGAAAAACAGAAGCAAGGGTGGAACTGTTTGTTTAAAAACGATGCGCTGCCTGCCTGACTGCCTGCCACTGACAGACATAAAGAAGCGTTGTCAGTGACAAACCCGATGATGACGTTTAAAATGATGAACAAACCGATGTTGATGAGCGAGAGTAGTGAAACGCATAATGTCATTACACTCTTAAAGTCTAATGCTAGACACACATAAGTATCTGAAGCTTGACATAGATATGTGTACTCTTATGTTGGCTTTTCAATAAGAAAACAAGAAAGAATTTGACATTTAAAAGGGAATGAAAGATTGTCAGCTGAAAGGTGCTAATATTCGTTAGGCGCACTAAGGGCTACAAAACAAGGACTTTTGAGAATCCAACTAGGAATTTTAAATTTTTAAGTCGCTGTAAAATTCTCAAGCATTTCTCAGATTTTGAAATTTTAAGGGGCTTAGGAAGAATTAATTGAAAGGTGCTAATATTCATTAAGCTCACTAATGGCTACAAAATACGGAATTTTGAGAATCCAACTAGGAATTTTACATTTTTAAGTCGCTGTAAAATTCTCAAGGGGCTTAGAAAGAATTTAATAACTTATCAGAGCTTTTGAAGCTTAGTCGATAAAAAATATTGTGCTTGTATAATTAATAATTAACAAATTGCCAAGTATATTCCTTAAAAATAAATTCTAAATGTGAAGTAACAAAAATGCAGAAATACTTGGTATTAGGCATCTGCACCCCATTAGGATGGACATTTTTATGCCATCACAATATCTGCTGAGTATATACTTTTTTGCCAATTTTGAAATGCTCTAAGAAACGGACGTAGTTATCAAACATCATTGCCAAATCTGTTGTGATATTTGTACATTTCTATTCCCTCAAGTCCACTGGCTTTATCTCAGGCATAAAAAAAAAAAAAAAAAAACAGTGACGTCGAGTGTGGGAATTACTTTTCAACTTACCTCGATGTCTGATATAACGCGGCCCTAAGGAGGTTGTCAGCTATGCCCAGTCCAAGACAACACAAAATAGCTGGGCACTGGAACGTATAGAATGCATACATATGCATGGACACTGACACAGACACAGATCCAGATACTTGTACATATGTATGTATGTAAATGTATGTATATATGGTTGGGTTTTATGTTTTATGTTTGTTTCTCGCGAATTGGCCTAGTTTGTTGTAGGCTTGTTGGCACTTGTCTGACTTTTGTCTGCTACGGTAGACCGACGGACCGGCGTCTTCAGAACAGCCAGCGGCAAGTGTCTACACACACACACACACACACACACTCATATATATATATATATACACCATACACCATGCACTTTAAACACTTGAGTGTTGTTTGTTAGCGTGTATGGGTTGAATTAGCAGCGTAGCGGACGAGCGCGTGGGTTGCTTACAACTGCATACGAACTTTTGACCCCGTTTTGACAACAACAGTAGCAGTAGCCACAATAACAACAACAATAATAACCATATATGTGTGTAACAATAATAACAGCTTCTGCTTCATTGCACTAAGTTTTGTAAAGGCCGTTGTCGCTTTGTCTGCCTTTCACTTTGTTTGCTCTTTATTTGTAAATTTGCCGCAACAGCAACAACAGCAGCAACGCATATCTGTACATACATATGTATGTATGTATATGTGTTTGTGTGCGTATACAACACACCCTTTGGCATAAAATCAACTCTTGCCTTTTAACTTCACTCTTTGATTTTGGTTTGTTTTGTTTTTTGCTTGTTTTTTTGTTTTACTTGTTTTTAGCTTGCGGCTGTTTCTCTTATTGATTAAACGTATGTATTGAGTTTAAGAAAAATCACACACAATCAGTGGAGACAGTGCCAGCAGATAAATTCATGTGTTTTTACATTTTACGCGCGCACACACACACACGCGCGCATTCATAAACTCTCACGTTCAAGACATTGCCGTCATTGCCTTTTGGTGCACTGTGCCAAATTGTGTTGCATACTTTTTGGAGGAACATTTTATTCCATTTATTAAAATTCGCGTTTTATTACTGAATAATTAAATTATCATCATTCATTGTTGTCTGATTGACTAATATAAGTTTTTGCTGCACTGCAGTGCTAACCGATTATTCAGATTATTCACAGTGTCTGCCGTTACTCGCGACGTTTCTGCTCAGCCAGCGCCTCACGAACTGACCTAAGTCGGCCTGCCGTGCCAGCCACGGAGCCCGAGCTCCGAGTCTTACGATGACGACGGCGGCAGAGGCAGCAGCGGAGGCAGCGACAGCATCAGTTTGACACTTGACAGCTGTGATTGCGGGCACTGCTCTCGCGAATTGGTAAGGATTTTTGCTCCCTTGTTTTTGTTTGCACCATGTGCCGTGTTGCTTGTTATCCAAAGCGACGAACACGTGCATGCCGGAACAGCTGTGGTTGACTGGCATGTATGGCGCAAGCGCTCTCACATATTTACTTCAGCTGCTAGCGGCGAGAGCACACAAATAGCGGTACTTTCTTCCTGCCAAAGCTTTTATGGCATTGGAACGGGTATTTCGAGCAAATTGAGAACAGTTTTTAGTGCAGCGTGTGTATGAGAATATGTTGTTCAAAGAGCTTAAAGCCATTTTCTTTGTTGTTCAAATAAAAGAGCTTTTAAACATGTTTTTATTACCTCAACCATCTAGTATGTAACAATATTAATGCATCTGTTGAATTAATTTTCACCAATGTCTAATTATCTGGAATTTTGCATGCATTTTGGGAACCGATAAAAATATAATAAATTCGTAAGCATATGCCCGGAGATACTTAAAATTATATTATTGTTTTTCTTTAACTAAAAACAATTAATATTTTTAAAGCAGTTATCGATAAGTAGTTCAAATATACATACATTCTTCAGGATAGATACGTACTATCTATGCACATATGTATATATACTGCTCGAGATAATTAATTATTTAAAATCGTAAATGAAAAATTCTTCTATTAGCAGACTGGAGTTGGGTTGGATTATTGGAGTTTAAAATTTATGTAAATTCTCTCTATTACTTGCGATCTATGTACATACATACATATGTATGTAGCTTGAATTACCCAAAAAAAACTACATGCAATGATCAAAAGAACAAATTCTTGTCAAATATATTTAATATTATTATGTTGTGTATATGTGGTAGTAATTACAAAAACCTAACGCATAAAAATGCAAAACTACAAAACGCACTCGCTGCGTTACCAGCAAAAATGACCGTCATGAGCATGAGGAATGCCAGGGATGCCGAAACATAAGGGCTTCCTCTCGACCTCTTGGTCAGCCACCTTGCCTTTTGATTTGTCGTCGTTGGCGAACTCACTCAGATCGCGACGCATAGCATAGGCATCCTCACCATCCGCATAGTACTTGGGCTCCACTTCGATTATTTTGAATTTAAGCGAGTTGGTGTAGAGGTTTAGGGCAGCCCGATTGCTTTTGCGGACATGCAAAGAGACATACTGGGCATTAAAACACTCGACCATGGCCTGTGATGCTTGATTCATCAATTTTTGCGCCAGACCAAGGCGACGATAGGAACGCTTAACCGCCAGCGAGGTAATATGTCCGTGTTTGCTCTCCTCCCCAGGCTCCGGCTCCTCCATTTTGGCCAACACGTAGCCAACTATACCGCCCTTGTCGTCCTCCGCCACGTAGCTTAGCTGTGGCCACGTGAGGCCATGATAGAAGTAATATTTCATCTGATAGTTCTCTGGCAGGCACAACAGATTGCAGTGCTGCATGGTCATGAGGTCCTCGGGCTTGGCGCAGCGTATGTTCATGTTGGCTTTGTTTGGTTGATGTAACTACCAAGTGCTTTGTTTTGTGCGTGTAAAGAATTTATTTTGCTGAATAATCTTAATCTCGTCGCGCTTTACGTGCTCGACCGTGTTGCTGTTGTTCCCCAACTAGATGTTGCTGCTCCTCTTCTTCCTCCTGACCCAGCAGTTCACGCACCAAACGAAATTTCGACAAAAATGCCTTCCAAATAAGGAACCAGCCTATAAAGATAGATATAAACTAAGCGTTTACAGAATGACTCTTCATATAATATACATTCTTTTGATTCAAATTGAATCGAATCGAAATTCATTGTCAGCGCATTTATTGCACTGCTTACCCAACAAAATAATGGCAGCAACAATGCTAACTGAAGCTAATATTGTAAAAATAAAAGCCAAGGCCGTTTGCAAGGACATTCTAGCGTACAGTATCACAAACAATCACAGTCTAATACTTGTTGCAGGGCTCGTACATTTATTCGCTGTTGATATATGTATAATACAAAATATTCCAGCTTGTTCACGTTTCAGTAGCAAACGAAATGTTTGTTGAAATCAGCTGTCAGGCAGGTGTCTAGTGTTTTACAACACTACAGATAACAGCATGTAATGAGATGACATCCAAATTAATTTCACTCGATTTATACAAAAATGCGTTTAAGCTATCAATAAATGAATGCAATTGAACCTGGAGTCGTTCAATAAGGTATTGTCTGTTGCTTTTCTATATACTTTTCGTTTGACTGTTGTACTCCAATTTCTGCACCCACGAGGGTTATAATTGGCACAATTCTTACACTCTCACGGCAAGTCTTTTAAGAAACTTCGAAACACCTCCGACGTATGCAATTTGTTAACTTTGCTACTTTTAATATTTTTCTAATTGTTTGCAATTCACCTTTATTTTGAATTTTTCCCTTTTAAAGACAAAGCACACTTTTGCTATCGTTGCTTGCTTGCTGCTCACCCACACCGGCAGTAACAAATACACAAGTGTTTGCCAACACTGGCTAGATTTAGTGTGTGGCCACATTGTCCGAGCAGCTGTGCACCCTTGACCAACTAGGCAGCATTTTGTTTATTTATGTACACAAGTTGAAAATAAAATGCAGGAATTTAATGCTAAGCGCAGTGCGCTCTTCGCCTGTCTCGACGATGCCAGCAAGGAATTGAAGGGAACAGGTCTGGATCAGAGCACAGCCCAGTCGTACACAGTAAATGCTCTCGAGCAAGACGGTAGCGGCAGACATGTGATGCACTACCGCCGTGGAAGGAATGTTGTTGGCATTGGTGCCGATATTGATCCGGAAGTACAGTTGAAGCGTATGCGGGGCAAGGAAAGCATCTTCAAGAAGCCGGAACTGCCCATAGGACGTTGCCTCAAGCCCAGGAAAACACCCGATTATCAAGTGAGCAACACCCATCAATGCAACAACATTAAAAGCAATAAAAAGTAATTGCCTAAATAGGTGAACCCGCACAAATGGAAAAAATATTCGCTATCAGACGTCGATATATCAGATCAGACAAACTCGGCAGCTGCTTTATCCTTTCTCCGGGAAATTGATGCGCAACGCGAGGCAACAGCCAAGGACTCTGAGAGCTGTGCTGGACAGAAAATCGAATTTAAGAAGTCCAGCAAACTAAACCGAAATCTCAAACAACTAAAGCAAGACGAAGTCGAAGACGTCGCATTGGACAAGCCCCAGTTGCGGGGGTCCAAATTGGTTATGCCCGAGTATGTGATTGGCCAAAAGCCGCCGTCCCGACAAAATAAACCAAAACGCAGCACACAAAATCGTGCTATAGGTAAACTAACTCTGTCCCATTTGCGTGAAGACAATGAGGAGATAGACGAGTAGTTTTAAGTAGACTTACGAAAATTTAAATATGTATGTATAAATAACTTTATATCGAAGAGTAGAAATTGAGCATTACATTATATTATTATGTACGAGGGCTAATTTGGAATTACTGTAGCACAGATAAGTATTTATATATAAATGCAGATTACAATACTAGGCAGTACAAAAATACGCAAATATAACAGTCTTCAACTACTTGTAGAATCCGGGATTAAAATATAGCTTTTTATTGAATCCGATATTCTTGTAATTCCCCGTCTGCAGATGTCCGGTGGCAGTGCGCATATTTTGGACCAAACTCTGTGTTTTTTTCAAAATATCCTCGAAGGAAGTGTTGTGTGCATATTCAGCCATAACATCACAGAATTTCTGTATGTACCAGCTGCCAGTATCGGGATCCCGAAGTGTTTCGAATCCCTCTGTACTGGCATAGCAGACCAATGAATCCGACAATGTGGGTATATTACGTTTCGGTTGCGCAGTAGGTTTCGGTGACGCAGCAGATCTGCCATCGGTTTCAACTCCCTTATCGGGTTCAGGGCCTCGACAAAATGGAAACATCAGTATTTTCGGTTTGTTTGCCAATTTTCTACAGTTACTAGCTTGAAAATGTGCTATGATCTCAGTCTGCACCATAGCTATGGAGCCGTCGTGAAATTCAGCTCTGTCTATCTGATTCACACGATTACCATGTGTCATCAGCACCATCACAAAGCACTCGGTGTTTTCTACATACTGCGAAGACGTAAGTTCCTTCAATATGCGCATGTATTGCTCCTTATTCAGATTGATATATGGAAAGATGGTAAATCCGATTTCACGAAACAAATGAATTAGCTCTTCGCCGTCTTTAAAGGCACCATTACGTATTACTCCGGGATTTGGAAAATCTATAATGTTAACCATGAATAACACGCCACGATTGTACTGAGAACACATCGGATATGTGCCTGTAACTGCGTCCTCATGACATTTGTCTGATTTCTTTACAATACGTTTCGAATTCTGAACGGGCTTTGTGTAGGGTACCAGGGGCTCATTCGGATTGAGGTACTGGTACTAAAATATAAAAGAGAGAGTTAGTATAACACACCACAGACTGCAGATTGTTGCTTACCTTACTCTCCTTGCTGACCTTGCTCAAAACTAGACCCTCCGTGGTCACTCCCTCATCCACAACGGTCATTCCAGGCCTTCGTGACTTATTCGCCTCGCGCAACGACACAAAGCTGCCAGAGTCCACAGAAAGGAGTACGTTGGCAGCTTCTTTGCAGTCCAAGGATTCCAGCACAGAAATTATAGTTTCATAAGCTCTGGGTCCGCGTTGGGTTAACTTTTTGAACAGTTGTCTATGCCGTTCCAAAAGTAAGTCCTCCTCATTCTCATTTCTCCTACCAGGTGTATATTCTTTGATATTCTGGCACATACCGGGTGACAACAGACCATGACGCTGACACTCGTTAAGAAGTTCCAAGTATTTGGTTCTTTTGACAAGCTCGTCGATTTGATCGATGATGTGTTCGCGATGCTTAGCCAGCATTCCAATCTCTCTCTGCTCGACGGGAACTTCGCTTATATGGTGTTGTGACATTGATCAAGATTTTTCAATTCGTTTGATATTGAACAACTCTATAGCACAGCCGCTTTCAATCTCACTTCCAGGTAGATGAGTCAGACTCTATTTCCGCAACTGGGCTGAGATTTGAACTTTCTTTGTGTATATATATATGTGTGTGCGTGTGTGTGTGTGAGTTTATCTCTTTAATTCCTAGCTCCACTCAAATTGATTAATGATCCTTATTTTTTCAAAAGCAAATTACAACACCTATTTAATATTGCACTATGTACTTTTTAAGTACATAAAACTAAGCAATATTTAAATAAAACTTCTTTTGAAACAAAAGGAATAAATTGCAACTAAGCTCCAAGGAATGCAACAATTGAATGGCTCTGCAAATTTCACAACACAGCCAAAGAGATGGCAAACAAAAGTGGCAGCACTTGCGCAACAGCTGTTTGTGATGCTACATCAGCAACAGTGCTACCAAATTTTCGACAGTGCTAAAAAGGTAGATCCACAGTTCAAATAAAGAAAATACGAATATTGCTTATCACTAAGATTGGGTATCGCACAATCACAAACTTCATATTTCCATTCGGACTCGGTTATTACATACCTACTCTTTATTTCTAATTATAATCCCAAAAGTGTAAGTTCCTTTACAATATACACTCGCGTGGGTTTGATTATACATAGATATGCAACTTTGAAACCAGGCACACACACATAATTTAAATTATTTATTTATTTACTACAGGTAACGTATAATTACAAATTAAATGTTGAACTGATCCATAATATAGTGGCCTAAAAAAAATTCCCAACAAGCATCACAATTAGGTCCGATATACAATTGTAAGTTGATATTCAAACATACACACATTTATAATAATAATAATAATATACCAAATTAAAAAAGAAACGTTTCAATTTCACGATCTTTTTGTCAATAATTTATATAAAGAAATAACTTTTTGCAACACAAAACTGGCGGCAATAAAAATTGGAAGCCCTGGCTACCAGCTGATTACCAGTTAACTAGAATTCGTCTGAGTAGGGCTGTAAGTAAAGATCAAAACACCGATGTTTGACAAAATAGATATATACATATATCATCAAGCGCATTCGATTGAGTGCAAATATACAGGGACAAAATTGAATAGCTTTTTAAAATTTAAGATCATAATCCCTCGATTTTTTTTGCCAAAACATCTATAATCGAGGACTCATCGAAACATCGATGTCAAAATATCGATGTTTTTTGCAGCCCTACGCTCAAGCTCCATTTCCGCACGATAGAAGTGTCTTGCTTTATGAATTAAAATGCCAAAACAAAGGGATGCGACAAAAAATAATAATGGAAAAAAGGAAGAAGTGAGTAAATATAAAAAGAAACGAGTATTAAATTATCTCCAGGAATATGGTTGCACCCGAGATGCATTGGACGCAATCGCCAACAGTCGCCGCAGTGACTACAACAGAATCGTTGGTAACTATTAAACGAAGAAATCTTCAATTAAACTGAATTATTTAACTTAAAACTTTGTGCAGATTATGTACGCAACACCGCCAGTGATGCCGAGGCCCGTGTGGCACAGGAATGTGATTCTACCTCCTTGGCTAATACAAATCAATGGCTGGAGCTGTTAAAGAAAGCGGATTTGGCACCGCACTGCCAGTACGAAGCGGCCACCATTATGAATGCCATAGTTCGGAATGAGCCCCAACCCCAGCCGGCAGAACTAAACGGTATAAATATGGACGAGGTGTACAGATTTTTGGAGAACGCACTCACTGGCCAACCACAAAACCTCTTAAAAGAAGCTAGCCAAAAATTTCTCTGCCAAGAGATTCAGGTTCGTAACTCTTGCTCCAGTTTAATTAATAAATTCGATACATTATTTGTTTATGACTTTCATGCAGCTGCTCATAAACGAAGCAAACAGCGAATATGGTGAACAAATGGTGAAAGAAATGTACAAAGTCCTCAACAAATTTAAGGACATTGACTATGAAGCGCATCCCAACAAATGCGGCATCGATCCATTTTTTCTGGATAGAGCTGATGGTAATACAAAAAGCGAATAAAACTCATTTTCACACATTTATTAAACATTCAAATTCAATTTGGAATTAAACTGTACGCTTACATTGTCACATGCATTTACATTATTTATTTATTTTGTATTTTCTGTTTTAAGTTTTTATTTTCTTGCCCAATCTCAATTCTTTTCCATACATAATTTTACTGTCTGTCAATTCTTTCTTGTACATACTTATGTATATATGTCTATATAGGAGTGTAAACATTGACTTTACACAATAATATGTTACCCAATGTGGTGGTGTAGTTTTTTGAAAAAGGTTTTATAATATTATTAAATTTGGGAGCTTTTCTTTTTTGTTTCTCAATTTTTATTGTGCATGATTGTTTTCAATTGTTCTCTGGTTATCCAAGGAGAATCGCCAAAATTGTAAATTACTAGAGAGTAGGGTTTTGTGAAGTGCTGTTCGATTTGGTCAGCATCACATTAAATCACAAGAGATAGAAAGGATTTTCAATTTATGTCGTTAGCTTGGAAAGTTGTTGGACATATGTATGTATGTATTTTGTGATAATGATTATAATTAATTACAAGGACTCACATAAATGTTAGCATTATACATAAATACTCTTTTTTTTTTGTAAAATGTTACATTTTTGTATTTTAAATTATGTTTACGTAATATAATTTAATTCTTAAATGTTCAGTCCAGTTTGAGCTTTTTGGTTTTCCCCTTTTTGGTTTTGTTTTTGTTTTGTGTTTTACATAAACATTAATCAAACTTAATTTAAGCTAATATGTATTTATATTTAGACTAGAAATAATATCGATATGATATGCATTGTCATACTCGTATAACTAAAAATTGAATATCAAAACAATAAAATCAAATAGTGATAAGTTGTAATTAGTTAGCATAATTAAATAATGAATGTGTAAGTTATCGAATTTGATTGTTTGCTGAATTTAAACCAAAGCCGATGATTTGAGGAAAGTCAGTTAAATTTTGATTGTCCCGTTCGTGTTGTTCTGCTTGGATGATATACAGAGCATAGAGTACATACATATACAACTGTTTAGGCAAAGTTCTATACATACTATATATACTTACACATAGTATGTACGCATATACAAGTATGTATTTATATATAAATTCATATTTAGAGCTTCATTTCGATACGCTAAAAACTACTACAACAATAATAGTTTATAAAATTGCTGCTAAATTTATTCATACTATATAATATATATAAAGATCAAAGATTTTTCCACGTACACATATAACGATCTGTTCTTTAGTATGTAGTTTACATATGTATGTATGTACATATATAACAAATATTATATTCATCTCCTTTATTCCATACAAATTGACTGAAAAACTTAATTAGTAGATGGACAAAAACGTGTTTTGTGCTTCGAAAGTTTGAAAAACATGTTCGGTAAATGCTTGTTAGTAGTTGTGGTGTTGTACAAATTAAATCCACTCAAATGGATTTACCATTTATTTACCTTAGTAGTAGTTTTTTAAGCGTTTGTTTAACAGGATTCCATTATAAGGTTATGGCTGAGTGAGAGTAACGCGAAATAAAGGGGAAGTGGTGGCACCTTTGGACACATGGTCCATGGACTTTACGACTACGCATGTTTTATTAGTGGCCCATGGTATTCTTATATACCCTTGCATAGGCATCTGTAGCTATAAGCTTACATTTTTAGCATGAGAAACAAAATTGTTGGCATAAAGATTATAATTCAAAAGGCAGAAGGATAATATTTCCAATTACGGTTTTACTAAAAACTAATGTTTTTTTGAGCATTTTAATATTCAAATAATTTCCTGCATTCGGGATCATAATTAACGCTTTTAAACAACTAAGCAAAATAATAATTAAGTATTTTATTTAAATTTTCAAATAAATGGACTTCAGCTTTTGGCATTTTATATACTTGTAATATCTTTGCCACATCTCTGAAATATATTTACGACTATAGTATCTGAAAGCTCTTGTAGGAATAATGAAAATTTAAATTTGTAGCTTGACATTTTCTCTCTAACTCTTTACCTTTGCATTTAAAAGCAAATGTATAGTGGAAGTCAAGTTAAACATATAGTAAAACAAAAATCTACAACTCAAGATGAGCTACTAGAAAGCCTTTTGTATTTTCTGTTTTTTATTTCTCAACCTACATTTTCTGACATGAAGTATAATGTGCATGTTCAAACAAACTATTATTTAAAGTTCGTCATATTTTTACTATATCCTGCAAGGGTATACAAGCTTCGACTCACTGGAAGTGACCTTTTGTCTACATTACTTCTGTTTAAACAAGCACGTAGCCATCGGCTCCTCCACTATGCCATTGCTCTGCCTATGTAAAATCCTTTTAAAAAATAAAAAAAAATGGCTACGTGTCTGTTACCCATAGGTATAGTATGTATGTATTTGGAGAAAAAAGGTGCCCACGTTTTTAACGGAGTTCTCTTGGTTTTGCATTTTGATTGCTTTTGATAGTTGTGGTTTCAAGCTCTAGGACTCAATTGGCTTAGATGGCTGCTGCTGCCGCTTTAGGTACTCATGAGGTACACGGTTCCTCTTAAAATACATAATAGCTGGGTGTTTCATCTCTTAAAAGCTGTCCCTCATTTTTAGAAATCGGGCATTACGAATTCATATTCAATTGAAGGATGTGTGTTGCATATTTATTGTTATTTAACGACATAAAATGCTTCACTAATTTCGGCAAGCCGAATTCATTGCTAATGATACTTTAAAGATCTGTTCAGACAGCGGCAAAAATTTGAAGAAATTTCGAAAAAAAAGTTAAATATATATTTAACCTTTACATATTCCAATTCATATTTTTAACAAGATGAATTTCGGAACTGCTTCTCTTAAATTTGTATTGATTTGTGATCGAAATGTATTTTAATTTCTTACCCGAAATGCTGCCCAAAACCAAAAGTCAGGAGTTTCAAAGTTCCTTTAATTATAAAAAGAAATAAATAAACTAATAAAATAAACCTGTTTTGTAATTTCCCGAGTTTTAATTCAATTGGTTTTCAATTTCACATTTTAACAAAATATATTCCAATAAAAGAATTCGGATAAAGTATATTATTAACACCATCTTAGGTGCCGAAATTCATCAAAATCATTTTCCTGTCTGAACAGACCTTATCCTTCTAAATAATTCGAAAAATATTCATGTTCTTGTTTTGGTATTTGGTAAATTGTTGTGACCAATAAAGAGTATGTATTTGTAGTATTTGGCTAAGAGTGTAATATGTAGGTCAATAACACTACATTTGAACCCACTCAAGAAAAATATATATGTACTATATATATGCATAATATCATAATTTTTAAGAGGCTACTTAGTTGATTGCACTTTGCGTAGATAATATTTCATTTTTTGTAATGGAACGAATATTCTGGTTATGTTTGTGTATGTACGAGTATTGAGTTTATAGAGTTGTGTTTAACACATTTTATATTCTCTAATTACATTTAACAATGATAAATTTTTTTTGTATATATAAATATATATATATTTATATATGTATTTTGAATATTTTGCTTAATGTGTTTTGTATATATGTCGACATAAAATCTGTTGGCTAATAACATTCAGAGCTCTTTTAAATAGTTTGGTTTTGGTTTACAACGTACTTTGTATACATATAGCACTAATATAAGTTGATTACTGGTGTTCTATTAATGGACCGAAAGTTCAATAAAAATATATATATATATATATATAAATATATATCTTTTTGTTTATATCTTTAGTTACGTCCGGAGAATAGTTGATACTGCAATAGAGTTGTTGCAAAATAGTTAAGCCATCATTTTCAATATAGTAGTGGTGGTACGGGTTTTATCTATCTACATATATAGTACATTTAACAGATTTTATATAGCAAAAAGAATGGTTATTGGTTATGTAGCGAGTTAGAGCACTGCTATTGTACACTAGAGTAGCTCACACCGATCATATTACGGCAATAGATACAAAACATATATATTTATGTATATTGATCACAAGGAGAGATACGTATAGAGAGAAATGGGGTACATTGATTATTGTTATCAACAAAGAACAAAAAACAGAAAAAGAAACCAGACACATCGACTAACGATTTTTACTTATAAGATACGAATTGGATTCAATTCGGGATTAATTAAATACTTGGCACATTAGTTTATAGGCTAGGTACTTGGTACTGGGTACAAATTCATGCACACAACTACAAATTAAAGGCCGACGATGTCACGGGAAGCCGCTATGCATCTGTTTGAATGGCAGCAGCGAGCAGGAGAGTGGAACCGGTGCCTTATAAAAATCGTAAACTACAGTGTTCGGAATGGTATTTTCGTTATTAGGTAAATAGAACTTAATATTTGTGAGACTTTTAATGCCAAATGAAAAGAGCTTTCGTACATCATTAGGAACTGTACTTCTTTATAGCACGTTCAAATAATTAATTCCTCAGATTTTAAAATTGTGGGCTTAGAACCGAAGGGCATAATATAAAATATTAGAGTATATTGGAACTCGTACCGAAATAAAAATAGGGACAGTACTTTTAAGATTAAAGGTTACCTAAATGGGCTGATAAGTTAAATAGAAGGATAGTCTATCAAAGTTGAGATTCATCATATAAATTAGGTACATATTAATGAGTCACTTTTTCTAAAACATAATTTGGTATTTGTCTCCTTAAATGTACGAAATGTACTGAATTCGATCATTTCCATACTTTAAAATGTAGTCTAATTTGTACCGTTTTAGCGTTTTTAAATATGTACCTAATCAATTAAAATGCAGAAAGGCAAGAATGGGTAATAGGCATGTGCTAATATACTTGTTTAGTCCTTAATGAAAACTACATCTTCAACATTTTTAAATATAGGAATGTACCTGCCTTTTAAATAACAATTAAATAATAAGGTACTGCGCAGAACTAAAATGAGCTTTTCTAAAACAATTATCATATATAATTCCGAACACTGCATATTAAAAAGCTTCATATGCTTAATAAGTTGTTTTTTGTTTTTTATAATTTAGGAGGACATTAGTGTTATGTGTCTACAAAACTACTACTAAGGTACAACTGCATTTATGTGTGGGGGGTGTGTGGTGGCTGTGTGAGCGGAGAGTGTTTGGCGTTTAGCCTTTAGTACGCGGGAATTTAGATACCCATTCGCAATTATTATGACTTACAACATACTTAACGTTTATTCGTAAATATATATATATAGTACTATAATAAACGCATTTCTTATATTCTTTTGTTGACTCCTTAGCATGTACTCTTTATGCAAGAACTTTAAACTCTTAAGGCACATTTTGAAGTTTTGGTAAAACTTACTCGTACAGTAGGTTGTGGTATGTAGGTAGAGGTATGTACTTATGTATGTGTTGGAATGTGTATTTGCAGCAAGAAAAAGAAAAATAAGCGCTGGAACAAAAAATTGAATGCAAATGGCAATACACGAGGGCTTTGATGGGTGGGTTGGTTCAGGGTCTGGGTTCTGGGTACACAACGAAAAAACGAGCAACTCGAAATATTGTAGTAGAGACACACATATAAGACAAGATACGTAAAAGCGTAAAGGCAGCCAAAGCACACATTATCAAATACAATACAATACAGTATATACATATGTTTATATAAGTATATAACGTGGTTACAATAAATTCGCAAAGACTTATTCATAGGTACAAGTACAAGTATATAATTGTAAATATACAATATGTGTATAAGTAAGAGTAGTGTTAGCGAAAATGCATTCCAACAGCATTAGTTAAATAGTAGTTTGATTGCATTTTTTTGGTTTTATTATTTATTTCAGTTGCTGTTGTTATTATTTTTGCCAAGCCTTCAGTGTCAGTCAATCAAATAACAAAAACGGCATTCAACTCATGCCGCGAACTATAATACAATATATAATAAAGCAGATAGGTACGAGTTGATTCTAATTCTTCAGCTACTATATTTCTGTATTATTTGCTTTTTTTTATTCATTTCCACGCGCTGCTCTTTCCGACTTTTAAGTCAAGTTGTTCAATTATTGTTATCTTGCTATTAAATTTTTCATCGAAATGTACAAACGAACAGGTGCGGAAGCTTTATCAGTTTTAATAGAAATTGTTTTTTTCTTTCCTTTTTAATTGTTTGTTCTTCGGTTTGATTTCTGCAGTTGTAGTTGTTTTCTCAAAAATTGTTGTTGTTATTGTGCAATCAGATGGGCAGAAAGTAAAATGGCAAGACAAGTAGTACGATATACAATATACACGAAAATACAATGCAAACTTTAGCCTCAAAGCTGCTCGATTCATACACAAATGCAACATACATACAAAATGCAATAATCCAGCAAAGCACAAACAAATACAATATATGTATGTATATATGTTCATTTCCATGTCTATACATACACACATATGTATGTCTGCATTTATGGACACTGCGAGAATAAAAATAAAAAACAAAAGAAGACCAATTGTGTAGGCGACATGCATAGTAGTTTATGGCTATTTCTTGTATGATTTATCGAAAAATTCCTGTCATGTGATGTTAGTCTTAAATTTATTGCATTTAATAGTGGTAGCAGATCCCTGCTATTAACAATACAGAGTTTTTGTTGGTTTGCGTTGTGAATTTTCGCAATCTTTTCATTCTTAGGTAAATTTAAACTTTTTGAAAATTTAAAAATGCTGTGCAGCCGTTTTCGAGTGAAATAATTCTTTTAATTGAAATTTAAAAAATAATACTTTTAGGATGCCTTAAAAAAGATTATTAATTAGTAATAAATAAAAACAAATTTAATCTTTGCAAAACAATTCAAAAATCAAAGTATTGGAATTATCTTTCACACGTCTCACATATTTATGGTTATTTGGGGCTCAGAAATTAAGCCGAACACCAATTATTCCTTTTGCGCGGATTAGAAAAAGAAACAGGGCCAACAAATGTTTACCCTCTACAGGTAGCTACAGAATATCTATAGCGTTAACATTTAAAATCCCTTTGCCTAAATATGTACATATTGTTATACGAACAGCAATAAATATCCAGAGTATCATTTCAATAATATAGAAATTTATTAACTTGTCTTCAACTCTATTTCTCCTTTTAAACGTATATTTTAAATTGTCTACAATATTTTGGATTTTCCTGAAAGTTCAGATAAAAGCTCAAAATTGTTCAGTCCCCTTTGTAAGAAAAATTGATAGAAATTTAAATTTGATTAAATCATATTCCATATTCTAAATTATATTCCACGGCTTCCCGAAGTAAGTAATGTATTGGCCCTTCTTTTAGTTTTTAAATATATGTAAATACCCGTAAGTTTTACAAATTGAATTGGATTCGCTCATTCGATTTTTAAATAACTTGTTCATCTTTATTTCAGTTCGGCTAGCATGAGACAATTTCTAAACTTGTTTACAAAAACAAAATGCTGAAAACCTGAACTGCTTCTGTAAAAGCCTCAAACATTCTTATTGGCTGGTTGCTGTTTAAATTTTTAAAGAATAATGGAAAAAAGTAGAACCCATGCACAAAATGTAATTGCATTTTCAAAAGTAATTTTGAAATTATGGAGTGGATAATGGAAGCTTTTTAAAAAGAGACCAAAGTTGAAATAAATGCAGGCGTAAAAATTGAAACGTTTAGAAGCTGCTTCGTTTTTCAAATAAAAGGCAACAACTTATTTTGTTCATTCACTTATTACCGTGAGCGGGTGTGGTTGTGTGTGTGTGTGGGTGTGTTATAACTAATATTGAATTAAAACAAGTTTACAGTGCGTGTGGTGGACACGGTAGACAGTGTTCAGCTTAGTTATAAAATGTCGAAAAGTGAAAAAGGTTTGCAAAATTATAAACTAACTAACATCACCTTTGCACATGAAGTAATTTAATCTATACACGTGTGTGTGTGTGTGCGTGTGGGAACATACATACAAACTAACTGTTTACATACATAATAGACGCCATTATGCAAAACAACATATTGTGTTCTATAACAATACTATTAATGTAATATTTTAAGAGTTTTCTGTGTATATGTATTGTTTTTTTTTTTTTCTTTTTTTTTTGATTATATTGAGTTTGATATTTGGGTTCTTGCTTGCTGCTCGCATTAATTACGTATTATTTATGTTAAATATAATCATATATTCATACATTGTTTGATGTTACGAGAGCAAAACAGAAATGGACTTCACGTTGCAACAACCAATAGATACGATTACACTAATAATGATAACAAGGATGACAATAATAACATGATAATAATAGTTTCGATTACAGCTATGTATATTTAATAAATAAGTTCGTTACGAATTCAGATATGTTCTCAACACCACAATTAACATTAACGAGTAATAATAGTATTAAAAATTTGGAAAAAAAAAACAACTTTGATATTTTTTTAGTTTTCCTCTGACTTTATACATTTTTTTTGGGTTTCTTCTGTTTTTGGGTTTTATGCATATACGAGTATGTATTGGGATTAAAAACTAAATGCAGTTTGATTAAACTAGCATATATCTGTATATAGATTTGCTCTGATCTGATCTGATCTAATCTGATATAACATATGTTTTGTATGTCACACCGACTGTTTGCTTCATTTTACCCTCTGCCCCTCTCTGCCGAGATCTTAATCTTTTTTCTTTTGATTTGAATTCTTCAACTTGATTTGCTCAATAGTTTCTTGTCACGCACATACTATATAAGTGTGTATGTGAGTTTTTGATATCGTTTAATTTGATTTTCATTTCTTGTGATTTCATTTGATTTCAATTCACTTCAGCTCGTTTCAATTCGCTTCGTTTCATTAATATTTTCGCCAATGCATGTTTGGAGGCGTAGTTCTATAGCTGGGATTGTAGAAATCGGTAGTGTATGATGGCACTTCCGATTCGTTCAGATTGTATTATTGACTAAATGTGATATTGAGTGACGGACACTTTCGGACGTTGTTGTTGTTGCGCGTGCCATTAACACGTAAGAGCGGCACCGGACTAACCGTGCCGGATACGGAAGTTAATTGTCTTACCATGCCGGATCCCAGCTGCTGCAATAAGCCCGACCCCGAGCCAAGTGGACCCGATGAGAGTACTGTCGATGTCCGCCTCGAGCGTATCGATTGCATGCTCGATGATAGCAAGAACGGCACGCTGCTCGATGTGTTCGGCATGGAGCCACCCTGTTTTTGGGAGTACAATAAAGGAGATTTCTTTGGAAGATTAGTTAACGTTTGCCAAAATAGTTGTGCTCATTACATCATCTGTTTGCTTGCATTTTTTTTATTATTTTTTTAAAATTTTGTTGGCTGTGTGGGTGCGCGTATAGTTTGGTGTAATAGTAATAGTAGTGGTGATAAAAATATGTTCTTATGTACAAAATATGAGGCGCTTAGTTAGGCAGAGCTGACCAAACAATCAACCGAACAAATGAATGAATGTAACGCAAGAGAGTAATCCTTCTGATTTGGCCAAATTCAAACAGCAACCATAAAAATTCGTTTGGCATTTAAAAACACATCGAAACGCAAGTTACAAATTACACAGATTCTGAAAAATGGTTAAACAAAAACAAAAGTTTCTAAATTATAGATTTATATAAACCTGTACAGTACAAATACATATAGGTTTAGTACATATGAGTTACAAGTACTTATATGGAAATGTTTGCGGATACCAAATTTTTTAGCCACAACTGGCAAAATCAACTCGAAGTCACATTAACATAAAAATTTACACATCAGCATACAAAACTGGCATATTCATGTGTGGGAGTGTGTCTCAGTGTTTGTGTGTTTGTGTGCGTGTCATTAGTTGAAAGCAAAGTGGTAAAGATAGAAGAAGGAAGAGGTGGAGTCGAGTGGAGTGAGATATCAAAGGAATAAATAAAATTGAAATTATCAGAAATTATGAAACGTGTACTCACGATCATGCTCCGTGCAAGCTGCGAATTTTTGTTTTTTTTTTTATAGATTCGATATACATATATTTTTTTATGATGTTTTTATTGTAATTTTTTGAAGTTTGTTTCGATTTCGCACATGAAATGAAAACAAAAATACGCATACATGAAATAAACATAGCACATATGCATGTATGTAGTATGTATATGGTAGAGATGGTGGTTTTATAAGTCCGCTGCTATAAGTACTTCATTGAAAGTTCAACAATTAAACAAAAATCGAAATTACAAATACTTCTCTTACACGTAACGTTCATATATGTATATGGGTATGTATATGGGAATGTGTGTGTGTGTGTGTGTGTAACAATAATAAATCAACTTCAAGAGTTCCAAAAAAAAGAAACACAATAAATGCATTAAATTAAACACTGAGCACGATCAGGATATTTAATGAATATATTTATTTTTGTTGTTTCGTTTTTGACTGCAAACTGTGTGTTGGTCGCTTACGTCTGTGTACCCTGGAGTCTTTTGCAACTTTTTAAGTTTCATTTCACCATAAAACACGTTTTAAGTATTTATGGAACACTTCGTTAATTTATACACCTTCGATAAATTCATTGTACATTCAAAATCTAATCATATCATATTCAATGGGGTATAAGGGTTCTCGAAAGTGTGCGTTTTTATTTTATCATGGACCTACGACACAAAATGATTTCTCTATTAATACGGCGATTTAAAGTAAACTATATTCTTGCTATTATCAAACTTAATTTCATCTAGTAGCCTGCAGAACTGGTTTTGAAAATGTTTTTTATTATTACTTTATTTTATTTAATGGTATAATTTGTTAGTTATTATTTTAATGTTTTGCTTTTATTTCTAATTTCTTTTATATCTTTTCAACTTATATTTCTTTATATTACAATTTTTTTGCTCTTCTTTATATATTATTTTGGTTTTTTTTTTTTTCAAAATTGTATATATTTTTATTATTATTATATTAATATTATTTAATATAATTTTTAATTGTTATATCAATGCATTCAATTTATATATACTATGTCCATGATTTGGCATTGCGGCATTGTGTTTTTTTTAGAAACATTTACCTATTCGAAGCTGGATTTCTTTAATTCTCTAATTATTTACATTATACCTTATATAGGCGACAGAAAAAATAGTTTTCTAAAATTTGGTCATCTCATTTATATATTTCACATAAACATATTTAAAGCTGTGTAAACTTTCAATCTCATTACACTTTTTTTCTGAAGCTGTCCTTTCGCAACGCCACAAAACCTGAAGGGTAGCCAACAAGCAAAACCTTTTAAAATCATAAATAAATATAATGTAACAATATTAATAAAGAACAACAACTAAAGGTACATCAAAACAGAAACAATAGAAACAACACTTTAATGTACACCATACTGCATTAGCATAAGCAGTCAGTTGAAGTCACTCCCATTGTCAACAGCAAACAATTCAATGGCAGTTGTTCGTTTCATTCATTTTAAGAGTGGAAGACAGGAATAACAGAATGTACTGTACAAAATGTAAATAACAGAAAGTTGTAAATTAGCCGAGACAGAGAAAGAGACAGCAAAAAAGAGATAGAGAGAGATGCAGAGCAGAGCAATAAACGCAAACAAAGAAACTGTTTCTAAAACATTTTTGTTTTGTTCTTATTCTATATATATTTTCCATTCCAAGCAGCACGTCAAGGTACATAATTGATTGTACTTAGTTAGAGGTATAGTCATAGTCATAGACATACGTAGTCAACACACAAATCGAAAAAGACCAGCCAGAAATGCAAGCAAATGCGAGCGAGCAAGGGGAGCAGCGCGGCAGTCAGCAATCAACAATCACCAATCATTAATCATCAATCGATGAGTCTGCCACGAACTGGGTCTTAAACGCAGAATGCAACACAAATCGTAGCATACTTAAGAGCGTAGAGAAGTATGGAAGTTGTGTGTCTGTGTATTTGCACTTATGTATATATTATATACATTATATGTGTGTGTGTGTGTTTTTGTGTATTTGTGTGTAGAGCTTTACAGGGTGCAACAGTTGGCTGAACGAGAACGAACGATGACGACGACAACGATAACAATAGCAATAGCAATAGCAATCAACATCAACAACAAGACAGTCAAGGCAAATTCTGTTTCAATTTCAGTTTCAATTTCAATGCATTGCTGGTTGAATTGAAATGACAATCGATCGACCATTCAGTTAGTTGCTGGTCTCTGCTGAACTGGTCTGATCCGATCTTTGTTATTTGTGTGCCGTAGCGATTGTTTGTTCGTTTTTGATTTTAAATATTTTTGTATTTCTTCTTTTAGACTTACAACATAAACTGAAGTTGAGGGCACCGATAAACTCGATCCGGAGCTACCCCTGGCACCGTACTATATTATTAATTGATTGTGTGTATTTGTGGTTGAAAGAGAGTTCGTTTTTGAGAAAAGGGAGAGATATAAAGAGAAACATAACACACACGACCACGACCACGTTGTTGACGACGACGTTTGTGTGTATATATGTATGTGTTTTATATATATATATATAAATGTGTGTGTGTGTGTATGTGTGTGTGTATGTGTGCGTGTCATGTGTGAACGAGCGTTGCGGGGGGAGAGTGAAGACAAAAATATAGCGAGTGTTAGAGAATTTATTGAGTTTGACAAGAATTCATTGCGGGAAATGATTCATAATAGTATGTAATATAATAATATAACTTTCTATATATATGTACGAGTATATACATATATATTTGTATAGCGAAAATAAACAGTTGAATTGCATGTTTATTTCTGAGTTGATGTTTCGTATTGAAGCAGCTTGTAAGAATTGTTAACTGTAAAACACGCTAAACGCTACGCTAGGCGCTATAGTATTTTTTAAATATATATATATAAATATAAACTATATGATTTATCATATATAAGCGTAATAGGCTCAATAAATCAAAAGCAACCGAAAAATCAGCAGAAAAGCCTTGCGCGGCACAGCAGTAGCAGCAGCAACAATAATAAAAACAATTTGAATCAAATAATAAGTAAATAATTAGTTAAAAGAGAATCCTGAAATCAATGCGATTTGCCGCCTTCGGTAGTCAGTAATAACAATTGCTGGTCGAAAGCTCAAAAGTCAAATGAATTAGCAACAAAATACAAAATATTAATGTATATTGAAGCAATTATCATGTGTAGGCGCACTATCTTGAAAGCGAACTGAGTGGCCGCTTCACAAAACATGGCCACACAACACTAAATGGTACAACCACTAACAATTGGCGGCCACCAAATGAATAAACAACAAAACGCAAAACTGCCAACTGTAAACGGCAAAACGAAAAACAAAATAAACAAAATATAATATCTAAATAGAGAAAGAAATAGAGTTGGAGGAGGAGAAAGAATATACTCCATTAGGCTAAATCAGACAAAACAACTTACAGTTGGCGGTGACAAATTGATGGTCGAGCCGCGTCTCTCCTGCGGCCCAATGCTCGAGTGGCGACGTGTCGGCAGTCCACTGCCCGGCGTGCCGCCCGGCGAGGAAGCGCATGAGGGGGCTATGCGTATTTTCGGGGTCATCAGCGTGTTGTCGGAGAGCCGTCGATTGGGAAACACATTGCCAACGCGCAGGAAATTGCTATCCGGCGATGAGGGCGAGCAACCAAACCACCAGCCACCAAGCATGCCAGAACCTACAAGGCGAGAAAAGGACAACGAAAATTAGATGCAATGATTATAAATGTTGTATCCATTGATGCTTTAAATCGCACCTAAATAGATTATTTTTCTCATAAAAAAATTAAAATAAAACAAAGTAATCAAAACATTTCATTTTTTAGTTTACTTTGACATTTCAAAAACCCTCATTTTTAAATAGATTCGATTAATATTTTTACAACATAATATATCGTATAATAAGCAAATTCTCTGAAACTCTATGTTCGGATTACACAACTTAAATCGCGTGGTTAAACCTTTTATTCACCAGACACAAATGTATAAGTAAACAGAACCGCACATATACATAGAAGCCAACCCATATTCGACAACCCATTGCTTGACAAAGGCTTCAATAAAATGAAACTTGTGCCGCGTAACCGCAGTGAAATGACTTTGTGGTCGAATATAAAATTTGGGAACCTTAGCTATACATTGTAATGGTTGTAGGACTTAAAATAGGCATGTTAATGGGTTAAATGGTAGACAGCAATGCAACAGCTGGGCTTTATATTATTGCTGAGGCTCATTGTTCATTTGTAGACTTGCATGCTCCTGAGCTAATTAATTCTAATAATGTTCTGTGGCCCATCCGTAATGGCCGACCTAGCCACAGGACCCTGCAGGCATAACCGAAACCAAAGGGCCATCACAATCAAATTACAACCGCTGCCAGAAACAAACAGCCAGACACAGTCGCACCAACCTCTCTTGTCTCTTTCGTTGTTGCTACATATCTGTTGCAGTGCATCTGTTTAGGGTTACGTATGGATGTGTGGGTGTGTGTGTATGTGTGCTTATGTGTTTACTTTGTCACTGTCAAGGACAGGCGTACGTTATGCGGTTTACGGCTACGGACTGGACATGACTTTACGGCCTCAATACGCATTCTACATGTCGTCTGACAGGACTGCTGCCCAACCAGGTATGGCATATTTTGTGGCAATTTGCATGGAAAGTTATTAACTTGCCCACAAAAACACACAAACACACACTCACACACACATACTCTTACACATCAACATAAACAAAAGCCTTCATACTAGACTGTGCGTTGCGTTTGAAAAATTGCAGCTATTTTTTCATGGTCAATGGCAATGCCGGAACCACACGGCGTATGCGCAATGTCGTCGCATGTGTTTTCACTTGGCCAAGAGTTTAATTAATTCCTGTCAGCTTTAGAACTTCAGAGATGTCATTAAAAAGCACTTCAACAATTCTTGTCAGCTGCAAAATATTTTTAATTATACCACCTATATTGATATATCTCCTAGAAACCATAACAGCTGCTTGCTTAGAGTGACATCCTTCGCAAAATAAAGAATTTAATTTAGTGAATAGGGGAAAGAAATCTTGATGGTGGATATAAATAAAGAGTGTGACACACACACACGCTGTCCTTGCACTTCTTTGTAAATTATTCTTCCATGTTCTTTGTTTGTTTTGTTATTTATACGATTATCTTTATTGAGTATTTCGAATTTATAGCCACTTTTTAAATTAACTTTTATTGTATATTAAAGTTTGCTAAGCTCTAATTCTAAATGAAAAATATATCACACCACAAAGGCGACAAAAATGGATCAGTCTAGTCTATAAACTTCAATTAAGAATATATTTAGCTGCTCATAACAACAGCATAATGCAATGGTTTCTCCTTGAAATAAAGACATTTTTAATGTAAAGCTTGACTTTCTATGAGGTGATTCGATAATTTGAAAGTCTAAACGCCAAATTTATATTACAGACAGAAAGAGGCTTATCAACGTGACGAAAAAATCTATATTGACTATTCGTTTTTTCATCTGTCTGTATGAACACTCAGAAATTTTTAATCATAATATGTAGACATGTCCTGTTCACTCAAAAATAAATATTGTTACACACCATATTATACTTATACTTATATACCCCGATAAGTAAACAAAATAAACCATTTTAGTATAGTAAGACGATGAAGGATCAATCTGGTTGAACGGCTTCTAAGCAGACAATGAAAAAACTTGACATATAGAAATTTCTAGTTTTCAGGCAACAGAAGATTACTTAATTTGAAAATCCCGACTTTAAGAAGATTCATACTACGCTAAATATTCAAATGATGAAGCACTCTGTTCCCTATGGCTTGTGTTCATTTCGAGCATTTTTAACGAACAGTCTAACGTGATGTGGCCTGAACAAACAGCTGGCCCATGTTGCTTTAGCTTTTTGTTTGTTTACTGTAAGTCACTACCGCTTACACTTGTCCCATGAACCAACGACCTGCGACCAGCAACCAGCAATCTGCAACCTGCGACCTCTAGCCTCTGGCCTCTGTGGCACTTTGTTGGCAAAAGCGTTGCAACAACATTTCAATTTGCAATATGCAGAATGGTTTGTAATTTTCAGAGAACGACACTTACACACACACACGCATACACACACACAAGCAGTTGACATTGCGACAGGTTGTGAATGCCTTTCACTTTTGACTTACACACACACACACACACACACACGCACACGCAACTGCCGAGCACATTTGCAGCAAATTAAAAGTTTTTCACTGCCGTGTCACGAACATCCGCCGGTTCGTCGCTTCTTCCCCAACAGAACCGTGGGCGCCAGAGCTGTGATGTGCGTGTAAATTTCAGAGTCACATTGACGGGCATTATGCATAAAACTGATTACCGCTCGTTCATAATAAATCATCGTTAAGGGCACAAGTTCATTAAATGCTGCATCGAGCTGCCGTTTAATATGCATAAATGTTGCCAGAGCCCAGCCAGCCAGCGGGCACTGCTTAATTTTAATAACACAATTAAATGCTTCGAATAATGACTCATTGTCGGTTTTGCAAATTAATGCCAGCCAGCTAAATAGCCAGCAGCCAGCTAGGTAGGCAGCTACTCGTATCCTGACTAGTCGGACCACCGGACTGATTAGCAAAATTGCGGCAGCGACGTCGGCGGAATTTGGTATTGTCACGTATTTAGACTACGGCGGATTTGGGTTCTGACATGCCCCCGGCATTCTGTAAGCCTATGTACTCGGATGTGTGAGTGCCCGTTTGTATTTGTGTATTTGTGTATGTGCGTGTGTGTGTGTGTGTGTGTGTATGCTAATGAATATCAAATTAAAATCAAGCGAAAATTTCTAATTAGGTAAAGCCTGCGGCTGCATTCAAGCGAATTCATTATGACAAGTTGCCGACCAAGCGTATTAATTCCAGCTTACACATACATAAGCTTATACATATGTACTATATACATATGTATATATGTATATTTGTTAACATATGTATGTATGCATTACTGACGTTAATATGCAGCAACGTCTAATTAAATGACGCACTGAAATAAATGAACACATTTTTCCGCAAGGCCAATTCAATTTGTTTAAAATTAAGGAGAAAAAATTCATTTTTATTAAAAAACTGGCTACATACGAGTATATAGCAGTCGCTTGAATTTGTGAATGCATGTATCTCATTTCATTTTGGGACTCGAAATTCCAGCTACTTATTAAATCAATGTCCAGCCTCTCAAAACTTATAAAACTGATAAGCATATGGTTGAAAATGATATTTATTTGATATAAAAAATCCAATGATATATATACCACTCATCATATATGTAGATATTCCATATGTAATCCGTTAAGATTATCACAAATGTCAATATTTATGTGATTATTACTGACGTTAATATGCACCAACGTCTAATTAAATAACGCACTGAAATAAATGAACACATTATTCCGCATGGCCAATTTAAAATTAAAAAGTAAATTATTAATTTTTATACAGCAGACTATATATATATCAGTATCATCTTAAACCTCTCTGAGATAAGACGTGTTACTCTTGAGTTACCGTAGTGCAAACTGCCAACAGCAGCTCCCACCAGCTTATCAGAAAAACAAATAAGTGCATAAAACAGAATCCAAAAAAAGACATAAACAACAAACACACAAAGAACAACAATACTAAACTCACGTGTTGCGGGCCTGCGCCCAACGGCACTGCAATGAATCGACCACCCGACCGACCCTGGCCAACGATCAACATGACCACAAATGAACCAAAATACGTTATAATTAGTAGAACAGACAACAAAACATTTGAAAACGTATCACCATTTCTAATTAAAAAAGTTGTAGATTTTGCTTGCAATGGAACAATTGAAACTTGCAAAAAAACGAGATCGGGAACCCTTCTCATCAAAACAAAAAACCATCTACAAGCCCAAAAGCTGCTTAAATTGCAAACGTTTCACGACTTCCCAGTGCGCGCCGAAGAACACAAATATCTAAACACATCTAAAGGCGTCATCTACTGCAACGACTTACGGAATATAAATGAAGATGAAATTCTGGAAGAACTCAAAGTGCAAAACGTTGTTGAGGTCCGAAAAATTCTAAAAAAAGACAACAATGATAACAACAAAAAGACAGAGACAGGCTTAATTATACTTACCTTCGCATCAATCACCCTACCTGACAAAGTGTGGATAGGATATGAAATAATTAAAGTACGTGCATACCTCCCACCCCCAATGAGATGCTTTAACTGCCTTAGGTTTGGACACCCTTCCGCCTATTGCAAAAGCCCAAAAACATGCGCCAACTGCTCCGAAAAAGACCATACAAAAGAAAATGAGACATGCACCAACACACAAACCTGCATCAACTGCAAATACGAGGCTGATGAAATTAAGCACCACAACGCAATGGACAAATCCTGCCCTGCCTTCACGAAACAAAAGGAACTGATTGCCATCAAGACACTGCAAAAAGTGGACCATAAGACAGCCCGCTATATTTACAACACACGTCACATTCACCCACCAACGTCTTACGCCCTGAAAGCAGCACTGCCAGCACTTATACCACCAGCTACAGAAACAACAACGCACACAACTAATACATCGAAAACAACCTCATCAACACCGAATCCTACTACTAGACAAATTATCACCTATGAAGACTCCCCGGA